TCTTAGGAAGCCAGAGTGGAGCCCCTTCCTCAATGAACATTTTTCATGCCAGCAACTTGTTGGAAGAAACCAGATGGATTGTCCTGTAGRATAAGCTACAGTATAGATTAGCTTGTATATCATAGGATAAGCTAGGTTACACTGTGGGACCCAGAAACTCCAGCATCTCATTGGCTCAAAACAATGAAACTATTTCTCACTCCTATATATCAATCTGAGATTGAGGGGGAGTTCTGCTACCATTTAATCATCAGTCTCACACCCAGAACCAGACTAATGAAGTAATTACAGTGCAAAACATTGCTGGTTATCTTAGTAGCAGAAGAAAAGAGCTCTAAAGAGTCTCATTTAGGCAATTAAATGCTCAGACTGGTAGTCAATTATTCTTTATCTCATTGGCCAGAACTGATCATAAAAAGAAATCCAGGAAGTATATCTTAACCATGTGCATGGAAATTACAGATATGAACATTTCAGTGAGCTGCACTAACATCTACTAGTCTATTTGCTCCCTTGTGGTGTCATTTTCCTTGATTTGACAAGAGAACATCGTAGGTTGGTCTGTGTGCTTCACACAGCATCACAGCAGAACACACGCAGTGTTGAAACAGATTGCAGCAGTAACAGGCCCTTTCTCCACAGCCCCTCCTTGAATTCATGCCCTTGGGTAAATCTCTCACTTTGACACTGGCTTTGATCATGTGACATGATTTGGAAATCAGAACAAGAGTAAATCTGAGGCAGTCAGAGATTCAAAAAGTATGTGTACTGCCAAGCATGGTGGTGCATGCTTGGAGGTTGAGGCAGGAGGATCCTGAGTTCAAAGCCAACCTCAGCAAAAAGCAAGGTGCTAAGCAACTCAGTGAGACCCTGTCTCTAAATAAAACACAAAATAGGGCTGGGGATATGGCTCAGTGATTAAGTGCCCCTGAGTTCAATCCCTGGTACCAAAAAAAAGTATGTGTACCTTGGGACCTTCCCCTCTTGCTACTTCTTAGAATACTGAGACATCATCTGAAGAGACCTGGGCTACATTACTGGAAGGTGAGAAACTACTTAGAGCAAGAAATGAACAGTCACAGATAAGTCCACCTAGACCAACCAACCTGCATTATCTAGACTTCCTGAGTTGCCAGCTGACCACACAGATCAGTCAAGCAGCACAAACAAGAAAATCTGCCAGTAGATCCACAGAACTGAGAACAAATGAAATTGTTCCTTTTAAGTCAAAAAATTTGAGGGTGGTTGATAACAGAACACAAGCTAACTAATATACTAGTTAATCCATTTTTAGTAGATCAGTAGATCCAACCTGATCCCTGCATTGTAAAGTTCTCCATAAACTTTTCAAATAAGGTTTCATCTACTGATTATTATTGCCTATATCAACAATTAATGGCACCCAAGTTAATGATTTTCTAATTCTATTATACCATCCATACTAATTAGCAGGATTTCTTCTGCAAATAACTTTCTCTTATCTACTAGTGATAATTAATAACCCTTAAATATAGTTTGTACAAGATAAATTCCTAATTCTTTCTTTCGAATTTTAAGTTTCAAAGGAAAAATTTGTGCCCTAGTTACTGCTCATGGAGCTCAATGAGGGTTTGGTTTTGTTCATTTATTTATTTTTTGTTCTCATATCAATATGAATCGATTTTTAAAAAATATTAGATATGGTTTCAATAAACTGCAGATGCTCTTTTTTTTCTATCCAAACCACTCCAGTTTTGGCTCACATGTTGGCTTCTGTATCTTTTTTTTCTTTTTATTTTTTTGGGGGAGGCAGTATTGGGAATAGAACCTAGGGGCATTCTACCAATGAGCTACATCCCTCTTGTTTAGTTTTTGAGACAAGTTCTCAAAATAAAGTTGCAAAGGCTGACCTTGAACTTGCAATCCTCCTGCTTTGGCCTTCTAAGTAACTGAGATTACAGGCATGCACTACCGTGTCCACTTGGTTCCTGTAGCCTTTTGACATGATCCATTAGTTGTTACTTTAAGGCATAATGAAATTTCCCAAGCTCATTTTGTGTATTTCTCCACAAGCTAGCCATTCCTCCAAAGAGCCTTGGATCTAATTAATGGGAAAGGTATTTTAGATCACAATCTGGGTAGTTGGTGTGATCAATGCCATTTGAATGCCATTGCCTCTAGACAATAACAGACTTTAGTAGACAGACTTAAGAAATATGTATTCCTAGCAGGACACAGTGGTGCACTCCTATAATCCCAACTACTTAAGAGGCTAAGACAAGAGGATTCCAAGTGCAAGGCCAGCCTGGGAAATGTAGCTTGACTGGCATATGTGAGGCCCTGGGTTCAATCCCTAGTACCTCCCCCTCCC